TTATAAATTTCTGTGACGGACCCTTGGCCACCGCGAGCTTACCTCAGCCAACGGCGGCAAAAGTGTCCTTACAGTACTTGAAAGGAGGGGATTCTAATCGCAAACTTTATTAAGTTCTTAGGTTATTTTATTGATTTTTGAATATTGTTATTTAAACATTTTTAAAGTTAACTTTTTTTTTTATAAAATAACATCTGAGCTAAAGAATCTTTTCTATGGATTTTATTAAAACATTTTTTGATAATTTATTTGAATAGTTAGGCGTTCAAATTGTTAACTATGTGTAGGTTCCTGTTTGGTGGTTGTTGTTGGTTTTCACGTACATTTTATTTTACCATTTGGCCAGTGTAGTGCATGTTTTGCAATAACGAGAATAAACTTTTGGTATTTCACATTTTGGTCTTTTGATGGCATGTGAGTATTCATATATTTTTTCTATTCAATGTTTCAAACAGAGCGGGTTTCATAGCCTAAAGGCTAAATGAATGTCCATTTTTTTGGTAGAGTTGATGTGGAGGGTTATCGGATATGGAATACATTTTAAATGATTTGACTTATTCCAGGATTTATAGAGTTTTAGAAGAAGATGCGACAAATCCATAAAAATACCAAAAATCGGAACAACCTATATATGATTTCCAAAATTTTCTACAAACATGTTTTCCTCCATGAATACTACATGCAAATATGCTTCAAAAACCGTGAATATTACATCACAGTCCCCTCGGCTGGAAAATGGTAAAATCTTTAAAATTCCGGAAATGGTACGTGGGGTACGCCAATACATCGACCTATTTTGAACATTTGAACTCCGAATATTGGCAGGACCTTTATATGGGTCGCTGTATACTTTCCGCGTATTTTACAACATGATTTTTTCCTGATTGAAGAAGAACTACTGATAAAATTATTTGAAAAAAAAAATCAGTAAACAACTGCTCTGAATTTCTCTACTTTGAACTGAAGCATCCTTCCAGTTTCGTAATGGTTTGTCACGTTGGGCTATTAATATTATATGAACTAGTCTCTTCAATTTAAAATGTATGTTCTACACTTTTTTCATAACCTCGCACATGGTATCCGTTTTCTATACAGGTTTGAATAAATTCCAAATGTCGTTACATCCACAGCCCTTACCTGCCAGTAAACAGAATGTTTTTATCATAGTCGATTTTTTTAGCTTGCATCAGCATGGGGTTAATGGAAAGTAAAAAACTTTGTTGCCATTTATTTAACAATTTTCATTTGCTCTGGCGTATAACTCACTCTCGCTCGGTCTGTATGAATACCATATAAGGAGTCTTTCACATATTCCTATTTGAATGTTTGCTTGTTGGTCGTTGTTCCCTTTTACATTTTTTACGAATAGACGTTTTTTGTATTTAACTTTTCGACCATAGGATTTGTTAACACCCTTATAGTGAGTGGCCTAGTTTACAATATGGGCTAGTAACTGGTATCCTGAAAAACAAAAAAAAAAAAAAAAAGGTGAACTAACGACATACATATTATGTACAGGCATATGCGGGTGTAGGAGTGAACATGCTTGTTAATTTGTTTAAATGTCCGAATGTCAGTTACAATGAAATATGTATGTAATCTTGATGTGGAGCAAAAACAAACAACAAACCTTTTTTGAAATCCTTAGATATGCAGGAAAACATTTTGGTAGTTAGATCTTCCCATAATTGTATTATTTTTAAAGATGTGCTATAGGTTATTGCAATTGTGGAATTTGATGTATGACATCTCGTATACTATCTCTTGAAATGGGTAAAGATTTGTTTGTGAAACTACAATAATTGCGAGATTTAAGAAAATGCCAAAAAGGTATTTTTGTATTAGTTGTTGTTGCAGAGAAGAAGAGATGTTCCTATGATTCGAACATATATATGTATACAGATCTAAATCACTCCAAATATTTTGGTTGAAACTTTTTTTCTCATATCAACAAAACGTCAATATGACAGATATATTTAGCTCACTTAATATATTTAGCACCATTAAAATAAAATCGGACAAAAGTATATATCGTAAAGTTTAAAAGTCAGGATCGACTATATGCTAACCTTCACTACTTTGGGTACATACAAGAGATGCTCCTTCAATATCCTTTAGATAGAATAGGCATAGCATCTTTAGAGGATAATTGAAAGGGAATCATACGAAATTAACTGCGTGAAGTACATAGATATTTGAACTAAATTAAAACAACCCATACACATACCAATCTAAAATTTATTAAAAAGATCTATATATAAATGGAAGTATTTGAGCCACCGTGGCATCAAGCATTTGGTATGCTGCAACAATTTGCTATCCAAAACTTATCTCGACGCCACATCCAATACACGTTATTATAGGTTCTATTTTGTACATTGTGCACTAATTCGTCCTAAACGGACAAACCTTACTTATTTGGTGCATCATTTTGATGAAATAGGATGAAAATTTATGAGGGAGCTATATACATTGACAGTAAACTGCACCATTTACGTAAAATCGGAAGAAACTATATATGGGAGCTATATCTAAATTCGAACCGATTACAACAAAACTTCGCATATATCAATCCAGACCTAATTCTGAACGCTGTCTAAAATGTAGTCTCAAATGGAAAAAAATTGGCAGTATGGTGCTTCATTTACATAAAATCGGACGATACTATATATGGGAGCTATATATAAATCTAAACCGCTTCCAACAAACCTTCGGATACATAAATCTGGATATAATTCAGTACGCTGTGCAAAATTTTATGCCAATCGTCCTAAATTTGACTCTTTGGCTCTGACTCTAAATCTGAACCGATTTTAACAAAACTTCGCATACATCAATCTGGACCTAATTCAGTTCCCTATGTAAAATGTTGTATCAAATTTCGTGGAAATCGAAAGGTATACAGAGACTTTGGTACACCATTTTCCTTAAATCGGACGATTTTCACGAAACTTAGCACACATCATCCTAGGCTTAATTCAGTACGCTGTGCCAAATTTCGTGCAAATCGAAAGATATATAGGGACATTGGTGCACCATTTACCTTAAATCGGACGAAAATTTATATGGGAGGTATATATAAATCTGAACCGATTTTTATGAAACTTAGCACACACCATTCTAGGCTTAATTAAGTACGCTGTGCCAAATTTCGTGCAAATCGAAATATATATAGGGACTTTGGTGCACCATTTACCTTAAATCGGACGAAAATATATATGGGAGCTATATCTAAATCTGAACCGATTTTTCCCAATTTCAATAGGGTTCGTCCTTGGGCCAAATAAGTGACGTATGCCAAATTTCATCCAGACAGACGGTCGGACGGACATGCATAAATCGACTTAAAAAGTGATTATATGCATATTCTCAAAAGGAACCATGGGTCTATCTTGATTCCTTTTGCTTGTTACAAACATATGCACAAAGACATAATACCCTGTACCATAGTGTGGTGAAGGGTATAATGATGTGTGATAAGGTTTGTTGAAATCGGTTCAGTTTTTAATATAGGTCTTATACATATTTTCATTCGATTTTATGTAAATGATGCACCGAAGGGTAGTAAATTGAATATAGAGTGATAACAAAAATCAAATGGTTGCTCATGGGTTTATATATAGCTCCCATACATAATTTTACTCCACTTCATACAAATGGTATACCAAAGAATCCAAGTCTGCCCGTTTGACATGTAATTTTTCATTGATGTCAGAATGCAATGTGTATGGGGATTTTTCATTTGGTTCAAATATCTATCTAGTCCTCCAAAGATTCTATGTCTGTTCTATCTACAGGATATTGTAGATATTAACATCTCTTGTATGTACCGAAAGTGGTGATGGGTATCATATAGTCGGCCCCGTCCGACTTTTGGGCTTTCCTTGCTGTTTTTTTATTCATTTTTAACATTGCAGTCAAGGTCTATATATTAGGTCAACCAGTAAGGCTGATATCTACATTTTTTGTCAAAATATATTGAATTTAAAAAAATAATCATAGTTAGCTTTGACAAAGGCATCGATAAAATTTTTAATTTGTTTAAAAGTTATCCTAAAATACCCGAAAAAGTTATCCTAAAATACACCGAATTTTTGCATGGAGAAGGGAATCGGGCCAGAGAATAAGCATGCATGTTTTGATAAAGATCGGTCAATATTTAGCCGGTCAAAAGGACCCTGACTTTTGTGTGAAAAATTACAAAATTTTGTATTCTATGGCATATATATTTACTCCTGGAGGATGTAGACCCGAGGAGTTCATAGCATATCCAAGATGAGTGGTTGGCCTTTAAATTGATACCAAATATAGTGATGTATCTACTCAGATGTGGGAGTTACATCAAATATTTACAGGTGCTTACGTTTTCAGATATTATTTAGTAACCCATTACACACTATAGATGGGGAAATATCGCGCTGATGGCTTTAAAATTTTTCATGAAGTTCCAGTTATGGTCAAGAACAACGCCTACAATTTTCGGTGATGATCAGATTAAAATTTTGGGATGAAAGGGACCGAAAACCTAATTTTTTGTGTGTTTTCGAGTCAAGTATAATCCGAAATCACAACACAACCCACCGTGAAGGTAATATGGACAAGCAATAAGAAGGACTGTACTGAATATTCGAAAAAGTAAGGAAGAGGTGTTGTTGACCTCTAAACGGGCATAAGGGGGCGAATATCACGAAATATTACTCAGACTCGGAATAAACATCCTCAGAAAGTTAGAGTTCGTGGTAGTTGTGTAGGGTATCGTATCGGCCCCGTCCGACTATACTGCTCCCTCACTGCTTTTTCTCTGTAATTTTCTCTGCTTTTTCTATGTAAAGAAATAAATGTCAAAAATTTTTTTTTTACAAAAATATGTACAATAAATAAATGCTTCGGAAAAGTATTTTCCATATAAAGCATTCAGTTCTGTTTAACAAACATATAATATTACAAATATTGCAACATGCATGTTATGAAACATGTTCAGAATTAATTTGAACAAACAATTAAAAAGCTGGGTATTCATAGTAGTAAATGAAATTCTTTAGAAATTAAAAAATTTAAGTTAACAAGTTAGTATTGATTTTTATAAATTATGTTTAACATCGGCAGATTGTTATACAGAATATTATATTTCAATTTGCGAATAAAAAATCAAAAAGTGGGAAGACCTCATCGATTTGAAATTACGCTCGTAATAATTCTATGGAAAACATAACATTAAAATGAGAAAATTATTAGGCTTTTCTATGCGATGCAGTATATAGAAGATAATAGAATATTTTCCTAGAACTGGTAATTTAGGATATTATTTCAAATTTCAAATTATGAATTCCAATTCAATACATCATCAAGTTGTAGAAAATACTCGTATCTTGGAGTTTATAGAAGATTGCACTGGTAGAATGAACAGTATATAATTATTCTTCTAAAAATGAACCGGTCAAACTATCAATGGCAATATAACAAACTTTATTGTCTAATATTAATTGCTGGCCGATTATACATCAACTTCTTTAAGACACCAAAAATTTCGAAGCTCTTAATTTCATTAAATGTTTCATAATAATTTTTCTGTAAAACAAAAATATATTTTTTACGCTTTATTTTCACACAAGGAAAACAGAATCGACCAAAACCACACATAGCCTTGACAATTTGTTGAGGGTGTGTGTATGTGTGTGCGCTGGTCGTGGTGCAAGAATGTCTGTGAATTTTTTGGAATGAAAATTTTATTTGTTTGTGGCTACCAGTCTTTGTGGTATTTGGGTGCAGATGAGGACAATCACTAACGGAAACGAAAACAATGTTTGAATATGAATGAAAATTTCATTTGGGATTTGAACCGAAAGTGCACTGCTATTGCTACATACTAAAATAACACATACAAGTAGTGATTTAGATATGTGATATATAAATTGGTAATTACTCTTTGATTTATTGAGTTCACACGTATGATTTTGGGGACAAAAAACATGCATAGGTATACCCTTTGTGTGGTCCTAAGAGTTTCTGATGCCATTGTAATGTCTGTCCATTGTAGTTCGCCAATCGTCACGAAAATTTAATATTTAGGTTATGAAATTGACTAAAAACCGGATGAGGATACGTAAATATTTAGCGGACCAAAAGGTTCATATATAACTGGTCCATATTTGGTTTTCTGGGAAAATGTAAATCAAAATCGACAATTTTTCCTTTATTTCTTGTTAGATTTGTAAACTTACCACAAAAAGTACAAAAAAAGAACAGATTTGTAATTCGTGTCATTTTAAAAAAATGGTCAGATCACATTTTAATGTTTAGGAAATACAATAATAACGCTTGATATTTCTTATTTATATAAATAATATATATAGTTAAAATTGTTGACACAATTTCAGTTTTCCCATATATATTAGGTTGGGGAAAAAGAAATCCATTATTTTTTCGGCAGATTGCTGTACTGATAGATTTCTCGTAAAGTATCGATCAAACAATTTCAGATTTATGCTCGTTGGAAGGGTTACATTTCGCAATAAACAAATTATTTGCTATAAATATATTGGTGTTTTTGTTTGGTGCATTCAGTTGTGAGTTACAGGGTGTTAAAAATTAAAATGAACAAAAAGAAAATTTGGCACATTTGACAGTTTTTCTTTGACAAGGGCGAAAATCCAAGCCAATCGGCTAAAATTGTGAATGGTGTTTATGGCTCCGATTTTGTAACAGCCGTTCAGGAATTTTTGATGTTAAAGATGCACCTCGCACTGATAGGCCGGTCGTCGAAAATGTCGATAAAATCGGAGAAATGATCGACGTTGACCGGCAGTCGTAACATCGCCCAGGAGCTAAAAATAATAAAATATAAAAATAATGGATTTCTTTTTCCCCAACTTAATATTTAAAGTCGCATGACTGAACGCTCTTTTTAGCTTATATCTCTCAGGCTCATAATTATATTACCACTGATAATACTCTTAAAATATTACAATATTTACAGTTTTATTTTGCCTCCATTCGGGAAAGTCCCGGGAACATATGATATGGAACAGTTACAAGTGTATGAAATAGGGATGTATATAAATGAAATTGATAGGAAGATATACTAAATTTTTTCCTGTGGCCCACTTATTGTAATGTTGTTTAATATAACCATTATCACACAAGAGTTTCAATGATCTCACACATTTAACAGGCTTGAGATTTAGTTTTTCAGATATAGTAGGGTATAATATGATCATTCCCGTCCGACTTGACTGCTCCGCTTAGTTTAATTTTTTCGGTAAGAAGCTCGTGTTTTCGATAAGAAGCTCTCATCATCGAATAAAAAATCAGTAAGGAAAGTAGTAAAGTCGGACGGTGATACATTTCACCACTTTGGGTATATTTACTTGAAATCAGACGAATATATATATATATATATATATATATAAGGTGTAGACATCATTTTAAACCTTATTTAATACGCTATGCCACAATTCAGGCAAATCAAATTATTTTCAGGGACTTTGGTGCACCATTTATCTAAAATCGGGCGAAACTATATATGGGAGCTATATCTAAATCTAAACCGATTTTCACAAAAACACATCATTATAGACCTAATTCTATAGGCTATACCAAATTTCGTGCAAGTTGGAAGATATATACGGACTTTGGTAGACCATTTACATTAAAATGGACGAAAATATATATGGGAGCTATATCTAGATCTATATCTAAATTAAAAAGTAGTTAATTACAATGTATATTCTTTTACAAATAATAAAAAATATAATGTTTTTAAAAGATTGGTAGAAGAAAAAAATAAAACAAGTGAAAAAGCGTTAAGTTCGGCCGGGCCGAACTTTGGATACCCTCCATCATAGATATATTGTCAGGTACATGAAATGAAATTAAAGGGAACATACCAAAAAATGACCTTTCTACAAACTGATTATGTAAACGATAATTTCAGCAATTTTTAATGAATATTTATACCCTCAGCCTTATGGCTAATGAGGGTGTATACACTTTGGTACATTGAAAATGTGAAATTTTGATTTCATCCAAACTTTGCCTATAATTATTTATTCTAAACTTTGTTGGGAAATATCGATCCAATCCTTCTGGTACGTCCCACACAGGGGCTAGGCCTAGGCCTAAATCCGGGTTCATATATAGTACATTATCGAACCTTACGTTCTATCCTCCGCAGGTGTAATGATTACAACAGAGTCTTAGAACTAAACCCTAAACGCGGAACAAGTTAGGTAAATATATTAATATAAAAAATGGGGTTTTATGGGGACTACCCCAAAAAAGTAGAAAAACACGCTCAAGAACCGCAAGATACCGAAAATTGGAGGTACCCTTATATGACCCTATATTCATAGTTTTTTTTATGGAGAGATTTGGTACCTATTAAGAACTCAAAGTACTAAATTACAGCCAATTCGGTGGAAAAATACGATCAAAACCCCCCAAAAATACAGAAAATTAGGAGGTACCGTTATATGGGGGCTACCAGAAAGAGTGGACCTATATTCATAATTTTTTGTGGATACATTAAGTACCCAATAGAAAACCAAAGTACCAAAATTCAGCGAATTCGGTTGAAAAACGCGCTCAAGAACCCCAAAATACCGAAAATTGGGGTTAGCGTTATATGGGAGCTATGCCTAAACGTGGACCGATATATCCCATCTTCGAACTTGACCTGCCTGCAGACAAAAGACAAACCTATGCAAAATTTCAGCGCCCGCTTTCAATTCCCTCAGAAGATAGCGTGATTACAACAGACGGACAGACGGACGGACATGGCTAGATCGTCTTAGAATTTTACCCTTATCAAGAATATATATACTTTATAGGGTCGGAAATGAATATTTCGACGTGTTACAAACGGAATGACAAAATTAATATATATATATATATATTAATATATATATATATATGGTGGAGTATATAAAAAAATATATTTACACGAAATTGTGCATAGCGTATAAATTTGCACCCTTAACTATGTGCGCAAAGGGTTGTTGAAATCGGTTCTGATTTCAATATAGCTCGTCCGGTTTTAGGTAAATACTGTCCTAAACATCCAATCTTTGTCTGATTAAAAGAGAAATTTAGAAATAGACTCACATTTATATATAACTCATATTTGTGTCCTATTCGAAATACTCCCATATATATTGTTATCCGATTTTATTTAAATTTGGACCCAAACTCCCAAGGTTTGTCTGATTGCGATGCAATTTTGCGCATCGGTTCAGTTTTAGATATATCACGTATATATCTGATTTCTTATGTTTTCGTCTGATTTCGTGGAATTGTGCACTAAATACTAAACGTTTGAGATTAAGTTGGGACACCGATATGTGCTTCAGCTTCAAGTTTGCTTCAAAGCGGTCTAGATTTACATACAGCTCTTACATAATTTTGCTCAATTTTATACCAATAATAACGTCTGTCCTATTGGTATGATATTCTGTATAGATTTCAGAATCACATATATTCCATTTCATGGCAATGATCCTTCAAGGATGCCATGTCTGTTATATCGGCAACACATTGTACGTAGGAGCATCTCTGTTTGTACAAAAAGTAGTAAAGGTCGGCACAGTCCGACTTTTGATTTTATTATTAATCATACGCACCGATATGAGGTGGGGGAAAAATACCGATCTAGTGTCCAGAAAATAAAAAAAATAACTTGAAGGAAACTTTAAAACATTAAAGCAGTTTTAAAGTAGAGTATTGAGTGTACTTAAGTGTGTATAAAATAATCCGAATTAATAACTTAGAACGGAATAACGGTACACATAAAATAGATAGTTTTTCCAATGTTACATTCTGTGAACATATTATTGTAGAATTTTGTCCATTTTTGATATATAGTATTGGAATTTAATTAAATGGAATAGTTATATAACCCATAAGTTATTTTAATTTAGGTGTTTCGGGCTAAATATATGTAAGGTCCGTTTTTTTAAATTCCTTCAATTAAAATAGCTGTTTCGTAGGAGTGCAGTCGAGTTCAGCGTTGATTTTTTTATTTTTTTGTGTGTCTGTCTAG